CGGAGCCTACAACGGATCGATGAGCGAGATAATGATCTGGCTTTTGTTGTATCATAACACCGTCAAAATCAATGCATTATCTTTAAATTTTGTTTTTTAAACACCAGGGTCTTTGAAGCTGAATTTGTGTGAGCGAGAGGAGGATCCTACACGAATAAAGCATTGTTTGACTTATATTTGGTCTGTAACTGTTGAAAAATAAATAGTTTTTGATTCCGAAGACGATACACAAAATATATGTAGTTACATCCTAAAAAAACCCCGCTTGTCTGTGGAAGATTGAAATACTATCACAACACCTTAGTACTAATCACGCTAAATATCAAATGAAAAAATTCCAAAGAATTTCAAATGTTGTAATCAATAATATAACAAAGCATCTTGATAATATGATTGACATTCAAGAGAAGCAGGCTTGAATTACACGTCATTATTCTCACCCTACAGCCACATGACGATCAGAGCCCACCAATCTTAACGTCAAATTCTGAACTGACCACTTTTTCTCAGACCCATCTGAGTGTTTACTCTAAAGAAGCATTTCATAAGGTTCCGAAGACAATCAAACGACAGCCCATATTCCAATCAAATTTTGTTTTTCCTGTCTGAAAAGTCATGTCAATTTACCCCCCTAAGCAGCTTGCATTGTGGTGGACTCGGGGGAAGTTCACCAGACTCCAATTTTAATCCCTGGGATAATAAGCCATACAATCGAGCCAGCCACTTGCTCCCTCCGTGTTTTCTTTGACAAAAGCTTAAGTGATGAGCCGGCGATCTAGCGTTAAGAAAGCCACCAATGCTGTTTGGAGAGATAACCCCTGTGAATAAACCATGAGGCAGGGTGTCGGCAATGGAACCTTTCGGGTAAAATCGGCATCCGGGGACCGTGATAATTATCCCCAGCCAGCGGGGAGACGGTTCTGAAGTACAATGAAGACAAATTGAGGAAGATCGAGTGATCAGGAGCTGATATGGGTGATGATCGATTCGTGTTTGGTCAACAACTTTGAAAATGGAAAATTGACAGCCTTATAGGTTTGAAAAACATCATTTCAGCTGATGTCGACAGTTAGCTGCTAGAACGTTTGGTTTAAAATCAACCCGAAAAAGAAGGGAACGTGAATAAGATATTTTGTACTCGGTAATTTTAAAAAATGTATATCGAGTCCATAACATTGCCGTACGACTGAAATTTGATATGTTAACGCCCAACCACTCGAAAAAGTCTGAAGGAAGTCTCCATTATATTCTTCTCAAATAAATGTGAACAGTGAATTGGCTTAGGGTTAGTCAGAGGGTCAAAGCCCCTTATGAGGGTGCTCCGTGCATTGGGGTCCGCACAAATTTTTTTTTGCATTTTCTTGATCTTCAGACTATCTGATTAAAAAATCTGACGGGTGCCACCCTGGCACCCTTGAGCATTCCTTTTTGAAAAATCAATTAATGTGCAAATTAGCTGAAGCCATTGTCTGATATAGGCCTACTCTATTTCTCAATATCTCCGTTAATTCCTAAACCCACCAAATGAAGTGTCAGGATACTGTTTTCAGAGTCATTGATTTAACTAAGTCATTAAACTCCAGATAGAGTGTATGATTATGTTATGCATAAATATGCAGATTAGCTCTAATATAGGTTTTCCCGGCCATTTTTAAGACATTTTCTTCATTCAAATTCACCAACTCTAAAATTCAATTTCACACGCTTTTAACAAAACAAATTTAGTCATTTACCATTCAATTTCAAAGTTTGGTCACCCTCTTTAGTCACCGGGTCGAGAACATTCGTCATTACAGATCAAATTCGTCTGAGCTGTTGCCGAATGGCAGCACTCATAGATCGAATTCGTCTTATAAATCAATTAGACGAATTTGATTTTTGAGTTTTCATTGTCTGAATTTGCTTGAAGTTAATTTGAAACTGTATGACAAAAGACGAAATTGAAATTGGAAGCGCACTAAATCGATGTTGATGGACGAATTAGAAACGGTGAATTCGAATGATCAACGTTTTGAAATAGCCGGGAAAACCTTTATTTATTTAATTTAAAAATCTTCTTCTTAGAAGACCGATAGGTCAGTGCCACTAAGCCGTAATTGTTCCTGTAATTGAGCCAATTCTATTAATTTTTTTACTTGGCCATTTCTGGCTCGTTTCGTTCCATTTAAATTTAATTTTTATTATTTTGCAGAGTGCCAGACCCCACAACATGGATCTATTGCCTTAAAAAAAAGCCGGGGAGCAATCCGCTCCTCTGTACATTTTCTCCAATATATCCAATTTTATGAAACACCAATTTTATGAAACTTATGGAATGACCATTCTCGCAAAAATATCAATTGGTCGAACGCAGGGCGTTACCTTTGTCCATTGTGATATAATAATGTGACTAATCGTCCATAGAAAAAAAGGGTTCATTCAAGGAGACTACAAATGAAATATAAATTAACATAATTTACAAACCCCTTGTTCGATTGAAATAAAGTTTTACCGTGACCTAACATAAATGTTGTTATATGCAAACTGAATTTCATAGAAATTTATCACTGGATCGCCGAGATAATAATGTGTGTGAGATTCACCCAGACAGTGAGAAGGGTATAAATGCGGCTCTTTTAGGTCTTTTAAGATACAACATTTGCAAACATCAAAAAACGAAATGCTCAAATTATCACGAAATACCTTACTGGATTGTCAGGGAATGACAGTCTAAAGCATCCTGTAAAATCCTTGCTCCTGGTATGCTGACATTTTCAAGAAATATTGTATATTTCCAACGCTGATCGGCCGAACAGCGTTGGAGAAACGTGGCTTTTTTCAAAAACCGCTCCTAATTTTTCATATTGAGTTGTTCCGCATTTTCTCTGCAATTGATATACACATCTTTGAAGAGGTATACAAGCCTGCTAGACTGATTCTTTGACATTACAATTCCCCAAAGTCTATAAATTGCTCCGTTTCATCTTAAGAGGGGTCAGGGAACCAGACTTCAAGAACATGATTGCTTTTCTTGGTTTTTCCAGCAGCTACAAGCCCAAAACGTGGAACAAGTCAGTTTAACAATATTTGCCATAACATACTAATCCTTCAAATCCATTTATTTCTGAAAATTGCAGCAAAAGCAAATGTTGTACATTCCCTTTAAAGAGTACCGGTATTTCACAGATGAGTCACCAAAAAAATGCACAAATGTATGCATACGTTAGGCCTCTCATGTTATAAGTGGTTTTATTGAATTCAGCAACCCTAAAAACAGGGGTCTAGACATCCCTTTTGATCTGTGCTTATTCCTGTGGAGATAACACTGTTGTTAAAATAAAGGCAACAACTGGTTTGCATATTTTTGCACATATATTCTCAGGCTACAAGGGTTAATTGAAATAAGTAACCCTAAAACATCAGCATTGGATCTTTTAAGGCTAGATATTAAGAAAAGTTGTATTTTAAATAATGGCAATCGCTAATTTGCATATTAATTGATTAAAACAAATGCTCGAGGGTCCCTGGGTGGCACCCGTTTGAATATTCACTTATATGGTCTGAAGATCACAAATATGGAGGAAAAAAATGTGTGGACCTCAATGCACGCTTCCATGACCTACTCCCGGATTAGATTGACAAAATAGGAAGTGCGAAGGTGTTTTTAAAAATATATCTTGCAGCTGTCACTTGCAAATGTTTTAGATTATTTGCACTTTAAATATCGAGTCTGTCTCAGTTACATTCTTAAAACATGATTGATATGCATACAAACCTATTACCATTTCATCTGGAGTTGTGCCGCTAAACACCTTTTAAGATTAAGAAGGTTATTATTGCATTGTTAAATAGATAAGATGTCATGTCTCCGCATCTACATCTTTTGACACTCAAGCTATTCAGCATTCAGGTGATGCTGTCGTATCCGAATTGCCTCTACAAAAACATCATACCCTTTAATGTTAATTCATAAGCTATTATTTTGTTTGTTCGCATGACATTTAAACGCATGGTATCAATTGACTTCTCATCCTAGATGCAGTCGTACCTTTTCAGTAGATAAATGAAAGTCAGCAGTGGTGTTCAGTTACATATGAATATAGAATGGGGATCAAGCCATAAGGTCCTGTTATGCACATTGTGTCCATCAAATCAAATAGAAGGATGGCATTTTAGCTTCAGAAATAGGTCTCAAACAACATGGACAAACAAAGCCTAACGCAGACGGAGGGTCATTCCAATATTGCAATACGTGCAGGATATCATTGACATGCCTAAATGGCACACATATGGTGACCTTTAACAAATTAACCAACACTCACCGGCTTTCGAGCTATCTAAAAATCCATGGTAAGAACAATGTGTTTTTCCCCCAACAAGTATCACCACACGCCCCGCGTGTTTATTATGAATATCTACTGATGGAATCATTAGATTGACACAAGTATATCGGACCGCTGCCATAGTCCCCAGCCAACCATAGCACGATTTTCTGGTCCGTTGGACACTGATTGTTTTAGCATTATGGAAGAGGAAAATGCAGCCTTACGACAGATATGCAGGCATTTTGTCTAACGAGTGGAATTTGGGCATGTAATATTTGGATATAAAATTGATAATAATAAGGCCGCAAGGGACACACATTTAGAGTTGGTTGTTGATTATACAAGCATAGAAGACGACCCGATCTCCTTATTTCTTTTCTGTAAATTGTATTTTGAATTGATATTTGCTTGTTTTGTTTAGGTCTAGAATTACGATAGGAACGGGACATGTCGTATTAGACTGACTGCATTGTGTATTATGAGACACCGACAGCAAATTATACCTAATTAATCAGTTATTCTGGCTCGACTACGAGACTGCATTGTTTACAGTACGATGCGCCATCGGATGTAGATCTTTGTATACCGATAGATGTATCAACACGATCAGCCGCGCCCGGTTGTAATAATGCTTGCATATGAGCAACACGTGGACACATCACTATGTGTGTTAATGAATAGTTTGCTTCAACTTACCCTCCTTCGACAGAATCTTTTTAACCGATACGACCGATCCGAGTAACCGGTCGTCTTTGCGCTTTGGTCCTCGGTGCTTTTATCCTCAGGCATAGTCCCGGGTTATATTTAGTATATGATCCAAGGTCCCCGCCAGCACCATGTGTCCCCCTACGCCTGGACGATGGCGGCTGTCTCTATGCATTGATGGCAATGTGCTATCTAGAGTAGATAGCACACTGGTCTGAAGAACTACGTGGATTGAAGTGAATTCACTCCGTGTCTACGATGGAGAGTCCTAGTAAGCATATGCACCGGTATGGTCTGATCTTGCACTCGCTGCTTGCATGATCCTGCCTTCGGCCCCGACGAACATTGGACAGACATCAATTTACGAAAATATATGAGCATTAAGCAGAATGATCTATGCCCCTCTCACTCCGGCTGCCCAGCACATGAATGTTTCGCGTGAGCACAGGGTCCTACGCGCTTGTATATTCATCACTTCGCACGTGTACATAATCAATTCGATTAGGCCTATCGTATGGTTTACGCTCGTAAGCGAAAGGCCGATCTTCACATAATTGTTGCAAGCGAGTTGTATCTGCTAAGCTGACATGAAAAGCACTTCGTCGCCACATTGTGACTTTTATTCATAAAGCTACTCATCATCATCAGCGACGCCGACGTCCCTCACTATCCACGCAGACTTTCGGTAGGGAAAAATGCAAGTAATGCAAATTTTAAACTGGCGCTGTAATAAAAAAATGTATAGTCTAATAATACTGTATAAATAATACCCTCCACTGCGTACAACTCGTAAAGACTATAAGAATATACACGCGTATACGGAATGCATAGATTGACGTGTACCAAGAGTTCTGTTAATGTCAAAGCTATGCTGAGTGCGCGGTCTGATGTCGGCAGAATCAGCAGGGGTTCTGACCCAAATTAAGTCCACGTTCACTCAATGCAAATCTCAGGACCGCATGTTGAGGGTTTTCGCTTGTTCGTTTTCTCGCTTGAGCCAAAAAAGGCTATGACGTCTGTTAATTCAGTGTCGCTGGGAATGTTTGTCTATTTGAGTCATACGAGCCATGAATTTCTGAATAGGGCCTTTTTGTTCAGTCTCGATTCCTTTTATTTGTGTTCATTACGCATCAACTGAATCAGGGTCCGTCTGATTACGAAATGACAATGATTTAAATTATCTTTGTGTCAAAATTGGCCTTTGCGTTTGTTGGTTATCGTACGATTTACCAATAGAAGCAGTTCTCAGAATTAGAGGAGAAACCACTTAAAGTATTAATTCAATGTGTTTCAAAACTGAACAGGCTCAACGAAAAGCTTGATTTAGAATAAGTTATTAAATTACTGAAGAACGATTAATTTATCGTATTTGGCTGAAGATTTCGAGTCAAAGTAACCACAAGCAATTGATACAAAAATACATGCATTCTCACAAAAGATGCGACCCTTGAATCAGGATATAAATTCGGAAGATTTTCATTGGTATTTCTTACACGTAAATTTTCTTGTCGAATTGTATTTTTTTTTATAAATTGCTTTAACCTGAGGAAAATGCTTTAGTCACGAATCTCCGAGCATGCATTTTACACCACAGCACAGTGGAAATCATAATTGGTAAAGTATAAACAATGCAGCTTCATCGGTTCCCGCATGCGCACACAAGGAGATGTGTGTATGATGTCAGGAACCAAAATTGATTTGGAGCAATAGAGTATTCCGCAATGCATTTTATAAGAAAAGGTGACTCTGTCAATAACTAGGACTTAAAAAAAATACGAACTAATCTGAATTTCAAACCCAACACCTTTATAGATCAGTTATACATCTTTTACATTATGAACAAACATTAGTATAGTCTTGGTTTCTAATTATGAAAACATTTCATAAAAAAGTGATCCAGGCACTGTAGCCCTCAAGGCGGATGAAGTCTACAGGGATGTAACGAGTAAAGAAACGTTCAATCACAAGGCAGGAAGAAACTACACAATTTATTTTGGAGGGGTAACCAACATAATCAAAGATAGGGCCAGTCAGAATAAAACAATGAAATAAAACAATCTTTTTCGGCAGAGAGAGAGACACACAGATTTGGGCTTCGGTCAACAACTTTTAAGTCGCCAACCAGAGCCTCAACTAATGACAATTGGCAATGCAGTTGAGCGAACTACATGTATAAGCCCCCTCTGAAAAAGCTACCTTGTCATGGAATTGAATCCCCACACAAAAATCCATTTCGATTGAATCAATTTTAGCCAGGTATGCGCACATTTTGCGTGACAGCCTTTTATGTTAGTCAACAAAATGTTAATTTAGTCCAAAGCGTTGAATGAAAGGATAATTAGCATTAGTTCAGAGTGCTCTGGCTCAAACAGACGTAGTAGAACTAACAGCCGGTCGATCACATAATCACTCAAGTGCTACAATAACAACTATTTAAAAAATAAAAAACTTTCGTGGAATGTGAAATCATGCCGAGAAGAATTTTTCTATCGATTACATTGCCATGTGGTTTTCCAAAAGGAAAAAAACAAACGAAATACACAAAACTGCTGAATAAGACATTAAAACCAAAAGGACTGCACTTATCCATTTCAATCGATCACTCAGATCAAGTGCAACTGAAGTCAGTGGAAAATTCAGGCCAAGGTCTTTACACAGATCCTTGTCACGTTGGGAGAAAATATTCGATTCATCGAAAAGCTGCCTCTGCATGAAGCCCTGGACTGATGCAGATAAAGACAAGGATGGGAACCAAATCCTTCGTACATCCGCCTTACATGTTCAAGATACCCTGGATGGTCTGGGGGCTCGCTTAAGGAGAGGATGTGGTTTTATTATTGCTTTGCTGTAGTATACCTTTGCCAATCAATCCCCTGGACGGCATTTTGTGGGCAGTTGCGTGGCATATTCACTGCCTTATGGGCATAGCATGGATCCTATACACTGAGAAGGGAAAAGAAAGCCCCGTATACCCATGGCATCGAGCACTACGCGCGCACTGGCTGCTTCCCCCCTCCCCACCCGTATTTTTTTGCACATCGGAAAATGGTGCATATTATAATTCGGCGCGGAATATTCTGGTGTCTTTTAAGTGCGCGTCATTATATGTCCGTTTTTGAATGTGGTGTGAGTCTACGACTGGAGCAATTCATGCTGCCGTCGGATCCGATTTTTTTTGTTTTTGTTTTTATTTGCAACAGCCTTCTAAGCTGCACCATAACACTAAAGTGATAATTGGTAAAATGGGGGAAAGGAAAATTGTTGGAAGTGATATTTAGCTAAAAAAACCTGAATGGATGTTTAAACCCGTCGGAATACATATTAAGATTTATTCACCAACTACACCATTCAAATCCATCATTTATTATTGCGGAATATACTTACAGGGTGACCTTTATGTTTTTGGTACCAGATTAAAGCTGAGAACTTTTTCTTTCAAATACTGAAAAAAAAACCACATGCAAATAGCACTTTGGGTTGCTGAGAAAATGTCAGTCGTGTAAAAGTAGTCATTTTTCATCCTGCACACAAAAAAATTACCACAGTGAGGGATTTTCACTGTACCTATTTGTGCATGTCCTAATCCTTACAAATAACATGGCACATAATATGACAAGAGTACAAACGAATTTGATGGAAAAACAGGTATCTCATCCTTTATAGTCCTATTTTAAACCCTTTCAGCTTAAAAAAAATGTCAAAATACTACAGAAATTGCACACAATTAATGAAGGATAATTGCACAGAAGGCTTACAGTAAAATGTTCCACAGTATGAAGTACTTGTGTACAGGATGAAAAATGACTACTTTGACATAATTGGCATTTTCTCAGCAACCCAAACTGCTATTTTCATGTTTTTTTTTCAGTATTTGAAAGAAAGAGCTCTCAGCTTAATTCTGATACCCAAAACATAAAAATCCACCGATCCCTTTATTTGTAAAAGGTAAATGTTTTAGGGTTGTATTTTTCGGGTCACCCTGTATAGAGAGTAAAAGGAGGCGGTTACCATGCCAGGTTCTAGTGTTGGGACCGAGGTCGAGGTGCAAACCTGGTTCAGAAGGGTGAGGGACAGAAGGCATTACTGAATGCAGACTATAGAGCTAGTCTGGTTTCCAGACCAAAAGATTCTGACTATTTCTGACGAATCTACAATTTAGACGTCTGGGCGTCGGGAAGGCGTCGGGGGAAATTGTCAGGTCATGGAACCAGACTAACTATAGAGCATGCAAGTCTCGCCAGTCCACGTTCACGTTTTATGTATTAAAGCGTCTTGGTACCAAACACTGACTAGTCTAGTCACAGACTCCCGTAAATGAATTTACCCAATATTATCATCTACGTGATCGATTGAACGGAAGTTGATGTCAAAATGTTTAAGTTGATAATAGTCATCAATTCGCAATATTTTCAATATGTTGTTAATTGAAATGCTCCCTTGTCTTTTGAAATACCCATTTATTGCCCTTGATTGGATGGACCCAGTCAGGACACAAAATAATTTCTAAACATAGGATGTTACGCACGTGGTGTCATATACATGGTGCCCAGATGTGTTGTAGTTTGGTAAAATCTCGCAGGTTTTTGAGGTCAACTTGCACGCTCTATACTGATGACGTCACACTTTGTGTACTGATGACGTCACATTTTGTTTACATGTGTGCTTTCTTATGGGAGCCTGGTGGGGACGACGGTTTCATAGTCCCATAGAAAAACGCACACGTAAACAAGTGTGACGTCATCAGTACAGAGGCTTATTGCCGAACTCATGCATAAAAATAACTCATTGCAACATCACCGAACGTGCTTTTTACACGAAAGCCTAAAGCAAGCCTATATGTGTTCACGTTTCGCTTGTAAGGTGTTAAAACAGGTAACCGCACATATCTCAGAAAGAATCTTCAGTAAATATTTCATCGTCTGCTGGACCGCGCTGGTCACTTGTAATAGTATGGCAGATAGGTGATGGGATGGTGCCTTTGATGATACAAGCATGACATTTGGCACACAAGTCAGAATATGTCCTGAGAAAGGTATTTGGCTGTAGGGCCATCGCAGATTTGTCCACTAAAAAAATATAAGTGGAATTAATAACAAACAATAGCAGCCATTTTGAAAATTTTGAAAAATTGCTTGATATTTTTCCAATATATTTTTAAAGGACAAAACTGCGATGGCCCTAGAGCCAAAATTTAATATCTTTCTTAAGACATACTCTGACTGTTTGCCAAATACCATGCTTGTGTCATCAAAGGTACAAATCCTCCCCCCCCCCCACAAAAATATTTCCCCTATCTGCCCCACTATAATAGCTGTTAGAAAAAAAAGGACGGGGAGTGGTATACATTGATAAAATAATCAACGTTTTATGAAATGTATCTGCAGATAGAATAATGGAAGTATTGTCTTTCACTATAGCTGCATCGAAGTCACGTTTTGAACAGGTATGGTACCTTGCCTATCTTAGCGGGCCAGTCTCAACAGCGATGCCTAGGGGAGGAATAATGTTATCAGCTCAGCTGGTGCAGTGGTCGGCAAAATTCAGCT